GAATCATTTCTAATTTTTCATTTATTTTGTCATTTTGTTCTTGTATTTTCTCCCAAAATTCTTCTAAAGTTTTTTCTGTGTTTCCTTTGGTCTGTCTCTCAATCCTTTAAAGATACCTAAATATAATTCTTTTGAATTCTTTATCAGAGAGTTCTAATGCTGCTGCTTCTTCAGGGATGTGTTCTGGGTCTGTATCCTGTTCCATTGTTTCTACCACTTTATCCTGGTTCTTTGTGTGGACTGTGTTTGTCTGTTGTCTCTGAAACATCATGGTATTGTACTAAGATCTCTCTTAGTTTTTTTGTGAAGAGCAGCCAAGGGTGATTCAGGCTCTTCTTGGTGGTTTTTTATCATTGGTCCATTGGTGGAGAAGGAGGTGCTGGTTCTCACTCAGTAAGTGAAGTTGCAGGAGGTATAGGCGTACTTATATGGGGTTTGTTGCTGTCTTCCACTAAGTTAGGCAAAAATGAAAATTGAATAAGCATCAAAACTGTAAAAGCACATGGACAAAAAATTCACCATGAAATCACACAGGAACAGTAACCTAAAAAAAGGAAAAGGAGAGAAAAGAAGAAGAAAACAGGAAAACCTGTAATATCTGGGGATAGGGCACTAAGAGAGATAAGGTAGGGAAGGAGAATAATGAAGAAAAAAATGCAAAAGAAAAAATAAGGAATGGGGTTAACATGAGGAAAAAAAAAACGGAAAATTAGAGAAAGAAAAAAAAAATAGAACTTTTAATCAGGAATGGGGAAAAGATTTAAAAAAAAAATGGTTTAAACTAGGACCTTTTCATTCGGGCAGGTCTGGAGAGTTCTTGGGGTGACTGGAAAGCAGAACCTCTTCTTCAACCCCTGGAATCTGGTAGAGTGCTGTGTCGCTTTAGGTTGTCTCTAGCTTCTGGTTATGTGTTCATTTGTTTTGTCTTGGTTTTATGATTTAATATTTTGAAAAGGTGAAGCTGGTGTATTTTATTTTATTATTAATTCAGGTATGTTGGGTTGCTCTGCTGTTTTCTTTGTGATGGTGAGATCACTGTGTGGAATGTGGATATGTGTTTCTGTTTGTCGTAAAGAGGGTTTAGAGTTCAAAGCGAGAGGTTTTATGGTAATTGGCTGAATATGGTTTCTTCTATTGAAAGAGTGAAGTTATTGGCAGAGAAGATGGGAGCAGAAGAAGGAAAGCTTGGTGTTGCTAGTGTCAGTTTCTAGGGATTTGTCCAGGCTATTATTGATGACCTAGTTATTTACAAGACCACGGCTCAATCCCAGGAAAGATTCCCATCATTAGGGAGATGCAACCCTCCGACAGGCTGAGGCACACTCAAAGACCCCGCCTCTGAGTCCCCTCAGCGCCAAAGAGCCAATCCAAGGCAAATTCCTGGGACTGCACTCAGTCGCGGCCCCCTCTCTCTCCCTGCCCCATCTGCCCTCGGTGCTGGCCCAATCTTGCCAGACCACTAACTGCTCTGGAGTTTGTCTGTGATACCGCCCACCTGTGGCGCCAAAGATGCATGCAATTTCAGCTATGTTGGAGTCGGGGGCGGGGTACCTGCCAGCAAACTGCGGTCCTGTTATCTGTGACAAAGATAAGCACCATGTCTCCCAGGCTGACCCAAGCCCACCCAGTGAGTCACTGAGAGGGGAGGGAGCTCGCCTCCCCGGTGCAACAGTGAGCTCTCCGCCCAAGCCTCAGCGGTGGTGCTTGTGCCTGCCTGCACCCAGATGACCCAACTCACTGACAAAATCAGGTGCTGGAGGCAGATCCCTGGGGCCACCCACTGGGACACTGGAGTGGTCGCTGGCATGCTGACACAGGGTGTCTTCTTTGCTGGCTAATGGGGTTCCCAGGTGACCACCCTCAAGTGCCAGTCAGTGACTGCACCAAGGAAGTTTCCAATGGCCTCTCTTGGCTGCCTGTCTGTCCTCCGCCAAGTAGCTCTTTCTTAAATAATCTCCCTGTGCCTTTCCTCTAATTCTGCTCTTCTGTGTTTGGTGCACTCTCATTCAGTGAGCTGTTCAGAGCACCAAAATCCCTAATTCAAAGTGCTGCATATAGTTTTTCAAGCACTTAGATGCTAGAGGGAAATAGTGTGGTGCTTACTGACGAGACTCCATTTTGAATCCCTGCAGTAAATTCTCATCTTCCTAAGTTTATAACAGTCTGTTCTATGTGATATCATTCTGACTTCCTTCTCCATTTGGAATTTTTGTAAATGTCTCTGGTTCTTATTTTAGTTTTGAGAATTCTTGTCTCTGGGTTGGTTTCTAAGAGATGTTGTCATGTGTCTTAATCTTACTTTTTATTGTCTTCCATTGTTTGTTTTCTGTGGAAAGGACTTCCTTTACCATTTGTTGTAGGGTTGGTCTGGTTTATACAAATTGTCTTAATTTCTGTTTGTCTAGAAATGTCCTAATTTTACCTGTATATTTGAGGGTCAGTTAGGCTGGATATGTAATTCTTGGTGGGCAATTCTTTTCCTTCAAGATTTTGTGTATGTCATACTATTGCCTTCTTGCCTGCATGATTTCTGCTGAGAAATCAGAGTTTAGTCTTATGGGTTGGATTGTAGGTAACATTTCATTTTGCCAGAGCTGCTCTCAGGATTGTTTCTGAGTTTTTAGTTTTGGAAATTGTGATTATAATATGTCTTGGTGACTTTGTCTTCAGGTCTGTCCTGTATGTGGTTCATTGAGTGTGATAGTTGAAGATGTGTCAACTTGGCTGGACTTCACTTGTGAGTGATGTTTCCCATGATGGATCACATGACTGCGTCCTAAGCGGCCGGTCAGTCTAGGGGGAGTTTCCCCAGGGGTGTGGCCTACCTGTAATACTATCCCAGGAACAAACTGGAAAAACGGCATTCCAGATATATGCTTCCTGGAGCAAGCAGCTCGCTGCGCGCCCCGGAGGAGCCTTTTGGATTTTTTTCCTTTGTTGGGAACGGCGACCCTGCGTGCCAGTTTTGATTTTCCCGGCTCTGCTGCGCTTGCGGGAACCAGACGACTCCGGGCCCCATCTCTCTCCAGAGACGAGCTTTGTGACTTGAACTCCTCTGCCGTGCGTGTGAAAGCCAGACAGCCCTGGGCCCCATCCCCCTCCAGAGACGAACTTTTCAGATTGAACTTGCCGGCTTCTACACGCTTGTGAGCCATTTATCTAAGATAAATCTCTCTCTCTCTCTCTCTCTCTCTCTCTATATATATATATATATATATATACTTTGCTGGTTTTTGTGTTTCTCTAGAGAACCCAATCCAACACATTGAGCTTCTTGGATGGCTATCTTTTCATCTTTCATGATATTTGGGAAGTTTTCTGCTAGCAAGTCTTTGATAATTTTCTGGGTGTTCCCACCCCCCCATCCTTTTTTCTGTAATTCCAATCAGATGTATGTAATTTCCTTTGACACCATCCCAGATAACTCTTAGGATTTTTTCATTTCTCTTCATTCTTTGTTCTGATTTTTCCTCATCCAAGCTAGTGTCAAGTGATTTGTCTTCTAACTAGGAAATGTATTCTTCAGCCAGTTCGACTCTGCTCTTTTGTCTGTTCAATGTGTGATCTATTTCAGTAATTTTAATGTTCATCTTCTGGATTTCTAACTGTTATTTTTGTATGATTTCTCATTGTCTCTTTATTTGGTCATTTTGCTGTCCTATGATTTGCCTGAATTCTTCAAGGCTACCATCTTTTCCTTGCTTCTATTTATGGTTTCCTTGAACTCTTGGAAGCTTTAATTAATTAACACTTTAGTTTTAATTCCTTATTGGGTAGTTCTATTATCTGTTCTTCTTTGGGGAGATTTTCTGGTTCTTTAGTTTGGTCATGTGCTTCTGGTGTCTTGTCCTGTTTCTTCATTTGAATGGAAGTTGTCTGTTGTCTCAGACACATTTTGAAGTTGTTGTGTTTATTTCTTGATTGTTTTCTGTTTTGCTTTGTTTCAGTAGATCCAGATGTATGGTGCAGATGTGCTTCTTGGGTTCTTAGATTATTAGCACGGAGACACTCCCTAGCTATCTTCAGGTTGGTAGAGTAACTGTTGAGAATGGGGGTGTGGGTTTCTGTCACTGAAAAGGAGCTGCAGTTGTGATGAACAGGTGTTGTGAACTGTCTGTTATTGATCTAGTGGTGGAGGAGCTGGTGGTGGTGTTTGTCCGTTGGATAAGGTAGTCAGTGCAGGAGATATGGTGGACTAGTGGAGTGTTAATGTCCTTCTCTCACTGGATGTGACAGGAAAAAAAAAGAAAAGAATGCCAAGGAAAAGAAGAGAAGAAAATGATATGATAGAATAAAAGATAAAACATAGGGAAAAAGAAAATATTAAGAAAAAGAAAAAGAAGGGGTGGACAAGGTTGAGGATTAGTGAAGAAGAATAAGAGGTAAAGGGAGAAATGAACAGATAAAAAGAAAGAAAGTTTGGGAAAAGAGAAAGGAGAAAAATGAGAGGAAGATAAGGAAACTGAGAGGAGGAACTTTGTAGTTATAGTCAGCCAGGAGCCCTGGGAACATGCAGTTGTGGTAGAAACCACCGATCCACTGGGACATGTGCCCCTGGAGCCTGGCATGAGAGGGTACCTTCTCAAAAGATAGTTTTGTTTAGTATAGTATTCTTGGTTGTCAGTTTTTTTTTTTGTTTTGTTTTGTTTTTTCTCTCAGCACATTGCCTTCTGATCTCCAATGTATCTGAGGAAAAATTGGTATTTAATCTTATTGGTAATCCTTTGTATATGAATGTTTCTCTCCCACTGATTTCAGGATTCTTTCTTTATCTTTAATTTTTTAGAGCCTAACTATAATGCACCTTGATGTAGAACTCTGGATTTATCCTGCTTGGGCTTCTTTGAGCTTCTCAGGTTTGCAGATTCATATCTTTCATTATATTTGGAATTTTCCTGTCATTATATCTTTAATATTCTTTCTGTCTCTTTCCCTTTCTCATCTCCTTCTGGAAATCTTATGATATTTGTGCTCAGGCTTCTGAAGCCTCTGTTCTTGTTACTCTTCAGCATCTGTTATCTTTATATTCTAATTTGCTGATTCTTTCTCCTGACTGATTAAATTTTTTGGTAAATCCTTCTACCTCATTTCAGTTATTGCCCCTTTCAGTTTCAATATCTCTTTTATTAGATCCTCATTTTGTTTTTGCATTGTTTTCTTAATATTTTCAACTCATTGTCCCTGTTTTCCCTTAGTTCTTCAATTATGTTTAATGTTAAGGTATTATAATCTTCCTTTTTTTTGTTCATTATTTAGTGATCCCTAGATGTGCTATCACTGTTTTGTCATGTTGATATGGTTACACCATTGTTTCTCTGTTCTTTTGTGTCTTGTGATATGTCAGTGCAGGGGAACTAGAAGTTTTGAAGGTAGTGAGTTTCTCCAGTATTTGGTGTTTTTGCCCAAATTACTTTCTTCAAGAAACTCTTAGATGGGCAGAGACTTCAGCTTTTGCTTTCTATTTCCTCTCCCTCTCTGTGATAGGTCCCTCCCCCTCTCTGGTAAAATTAGGATTTGAAAGTTCCAGATCTTGTTTTTCAACTTTCAATCTCTCCCAAACAAACCAGAGAGCATGCTGTGTTCAGTCAGTCCACCTGTGGGCACCTCTACTCTGGCATGATATCATAACATAATCAACCTGTCCTCTAGGGGGCACAGTCTCCTCTCTCTGATTATTATTTTGTTACCTTCTCTGTTTCTGCAATCACATTTTTAGCCAGAAAAAAACACAGCAAGAGGGCCCCCTTTAGGGCCAGGAGCTGCCCTCCCATTATGCTCAAGGTTTCCTTTTCTGCTATGTGGTGGATGCTTATTTTTGAGCTGGCAATCAGGGGAGGCACAGACAATTTCCTCCATTTCAGGAAGAAGAGGGGCTAGCACTACATAGAAGGACCCCTGAGAGATCTGTCTTGGTTTCCGAGCCCCAGTGGCCCTGTGGTGTTTGAGGGATCAGTCTCCACTTAGGTGACCTACCTTCTGACTCCTATAGAGAACTTTCTGTAGGAGTTTGTATCAGTCCAGCAGCTGACAGTTAGTGGCTGGTGGATGGGTAGTCACCCTCCAAATGGAGACACAGGTAGGTCTGCCTTGTCACTATCAGAGCCTGCCCCATGATATGTTGGCTGTAGATGTAGCCTCCACTCAAGATTCCTGCTTCATAGCATGCAGCAGCCTTAGTCAGCAGTCCTCAGCACTAACTGGAAGGCGGAGCAGACAACCCCCAATTGATCCCCAGGGTGGTCTTTCCTGTGAGTTTCAGAGACCTAACCTATGGGGTGCACAGGATGGCAGGCAAAGTGTTGACAGTGGAACCAGACTCCACTAAAGGGGCCTTCGGTAGCAGTTTGTAACACTTGGCAACCAACAATTACCAGTTGGGGAGGGAGTGTTGTGCTGTGGTCAGATCCACAGGGAAGTCTGCCTTATTGCTATCAGAGACTCCCCTGTAGATAGTTGGCTGTGAGTGGAACCTCTATTCAAGACTTTTGCTTCCTGACACATATCAGCCTCAGGCAGCACCTCAGTGCCAACTGGAGATGGGGACAGAATAACCTTAATTGACCCCCAGGGAGGTTTTTCCTGTTGATTTCAGAGGCCTGAGCTATGAGGTGGACAGGGAGGCCCATAGAATGTTTACTGTGGGAACAGATTCCATTGCCTGGGACTTGTGTTGCAATTCGCAGTAGACTAGCAGCCAACAATTTCTGGAAGGAGAAATTGCTGGCACATTCCAAATGGACCCCAGGGAAGTCTGCCTTGTTGCTATCAGAGCACCTCCTGGGGTATGTTGGGTGTGGACATAGCTTCTAACGAAGATGACTTCTTATTAGCACACAGCAACCTCAGTTGGCAGCCCTCAGCACTAACTGAAAGAGGGAGTAGACAGACCACAACCGACTCCCTGGGAGATCTCTCCTGTTGGTTTCAGAGACTTGAGCTATGGGGTGCCCAAGAAGGCAGGTGGATGGTTGACTTTGAGAGCAAATTCCATTGCATAGGCTTTGTATAGCAATTCACATTAGGCTGGGAAATGACAATGTCTGGGTGGCAGGTGGCCTCACACACTCCAAACAGCCCCCTAGGGAGGTCTGCTTTTTGTTGATTTTAGGATAAAAAGCTTGAGATCCTTTCCCTTTATACAGGCAGGGGCTGTGCTTGTTAGGGAAGCAGTCGCTTTTTCTGGGGCCTCTACCCTAGTTCACAGTGGCCAGCAGCCTGAATGACTGGAGAAGGGGCACAGACAGTGAGAGAAGCAATTTTCCTATTATATGCAACTTACTGATTTGTTGATTCTCGCCTCACTATAGTTCCCTGCTGCTTTCCTCTACTCTGCAATTCAGAGTCCCTCAAAGCCAAGAATTCTTTCCTTGTTGTATTTGGGTCAAAACAATGGATTGTTTATGCTGCTGTCCTCCCAGAATTCTTCTCATCATTATTCTTCACAACTGTAGAGTATTCCATTGTGTGTATGTACCACAATATCTTTATCCTTTCATCCATTGACAGGCCCTTAGGTTGTTCCATCTTTTTCCTGTGACTAGTGCTTCAATAAACATAGAAATGCATATTTCTGTGTGTGCCTTTAGTATTAGAACACTAAAATATATACTGAGAAGTGGGATTCCTAGATCATAAGGTAGTTCTATTTCTAGTTTTCTGAGAAAGCACCATACTGTTTTCAATAGTGGTTATACAATTTTACAATCCCAATATTCATGGGTAAGATTCACACAGCCCCCTAGAGAGCACTCATTCACTGTTCTGGTTACCTCTGTGCTGCCCTAACAGAAATACCACAAATGGGATGGCTTGAAGAAACAGGAGTTTATTCTCTTACCGTTTGGAGGCTTTAAGACCAAGTTCAAAGTGCCAGGCTCTAGGGGCTGGGTGAAAGCCCCTCAACCTTGGGCTTCAGGTCTGCCTCCTGCTCCCAGCCCACTGAAGCTTGAGGCTTTTCTTCATTCAGCTGCTGCCTGCTGAGGCTGACAAGCCCAAGGTTGGCAAGTAAAAAGGCACAGTCCTGATGTTACCAAACCAAATGGCTGGCCATTAATTCAAGTCCACTGAAAGTCCCCAGGTCAGCAAAGCATGGCAGGCTGCTGAACAACAACACAACTACATGAAGAGTTCAAGTATGCCATAAGCTAGAGACCATTTCCTAAGACTTCTCCTTATATACAAGAAGCAGACCACATCCCTAGTGGAGCAACTCAGCTGCTCACAGTAGATTCCATCATGGAGTTGATTACCAGTCTCATCATGGGGAATACTACATCCAGCTGCCCAGCCACTCAACCAGGCCCATCCAAGTTGACACACAAATTTAGTTACCATACCCAAAACCCTATTAGCATTTGTTGTTTTCTGTGGTTTTTGAATCAGTGCCAGTTGAGCAGGGAGGGGTGAGATGGTATCTCATTGTAGTTTTGATTTACATGTCTCTAATGGCCAAAGGAGGAGCTCTGGTAGCTTAGTGCCTAAGGCACTTGACTGCTAACCAGAAGGCTGGCAGTTCAAATCCAACAGCCACTCCTTGGAAGGAAGGTTGGGCAATCTATTTCTGTAGTGATACCAACTTGGAAATCCAAGGAGGGCTCACTATGAGTAGGATCTGACTTGATGGTAAATAAAAACAACAACAATTGCAAAAGGTAGGTGGTTCAAACCCACCAGCAGCCCCACAAGAGAAAGATAAAGCAGGCTACTTTTGTAAAGGTTTACAGCCTTGGAAACCATGTGGACAGCTCTACTCTGTCTTGTGAAGTTGCTATGAGTCAGAATGGACTCATGGCTAATAATCATGAGTAACTTTTCATGTATTTACTGGCCTCTTAAATGTCCTTTTTTGTGAAGTGGCTGTTCATGTCCTTTGCCCATGTTTTAATCAGGTATTTTATCTTTTTGTTGTTGAGTTGTTGAAATTGTTGCTTAATTTTGGAGATTAAACCCTTACCAAATAAGTTATTCCCCAAGATTTTTTCCAGGTATATAGTTGTTTTTTCACAATTTTGATAAAGTCATTTGATCAGCATAGTATTTAATTTTTGAGGTCCTTGTTATCTGATTTATCTTCTGCTATTTCTGCATTTATAGTTGTGTTTGGAATTGTTTTGAAGAAATATTGTTGAATTCAGGTAATTTTTCTAGACTCTTCAACAACCTGAAAAATGAGTTTCAGAAAAGTCATCCATTTGCTCCATAGTTTTTATTCTAAACTTTTGTAGTTTTCAGGCTCCTTTTCACCCTCCTTGATGAATGACTCTAGCATTCTTTCCGTAAGATGGTGAATACCCATGAAATTCTTATTTGGGGCTAATCCATTATCAATGACTTTGTTGAAGATGGAGTGGGTTAATGGGAATAAACCATCATTATGAATAGTCCTTTTCACAAGAAAAAAATTAAAATTGGTTCTTTTCACTTTTGTCTTTCAATAAGCAATTCTTAACATACAGCTTCAAATATAAGGCAAAGAATTTTTCTTCAAATATTATCTTTCAGAAATTGATTTATATTCAAGTTCTCATACAGTCTCTCATATTATTTAATTTGAAATCAATGTTCTCTTCAGAGAGAACACATGTTAACCAGAAAAGATCTCAATCAGTGGTACCTTTGGATGCTTATTATACTCATCGATTGACACGGCTAGTACTTAAAAAAAAAAGAAAAAAAAAAAAAAAAAAAGGCCAGGGTGGGTGACACTATTATTCTAGGATTTATGACCTCACATTTGGAAGGATTATATATCTTTGTAAACACACATTTTAATAATCACTATTAAAACTATGTAAGATAGGTATAAAATATGATGAATGCAAATATGTATATATAGAAAGATTTTTTTTTTTTTTAAAGTATACTAACATGATAGTCTCTGGATGGTGCAAATGGTTTGCACTCAACAACTATCCAATAAGTTGGCAGTTTGAATCCACCAGCAGAGCTGCAGAAGAAAGGGAAACAATCTATATCTGTAAGATTACAGCTAAGACAGTTAATAAAGACAGTATTCTACATCACTCTTTGGTGAGTAGTGCCTGGAATCTGAAGTCTTCTAAGCATACAAGGTGTATCTAAGATCTAGAGCCAAGGAGAGTGAAGGAAACCCAAGACTAAAGGAAGAAATCAGTTCAAAAGACTAATGGCCTACATGAAGCACAGGCTTCTCTAGCTTGAGAGTAGACACTAGGTAGTAGCATCCAGCTACCACTACTGAATGCTCTGACCAGGGACACAACAGAAGGTCATGGTTAGAATGGAAGAAACATGTAGGACAAAATTCAAATATATAAAAAAGACTAGACTTACTGGTATGATAGGAACTAGAGGAACCCCTGAAACTATCACCCTGAGATATCCTTTCAACCTGTAACTGAAACTACTCCCGGAGGTCACCCTCCAGCCAAATCATAGACTGGCATATAAAACAACCAATAACACCATGTGGAATACGCTCCTTCGAGTAAGCAACTGTATGAGACCAGAGAGGCAACATTTGCCCAAAAGCAATGATGAGATGACAAGGAAGGGCAGGAAAACTACAGGGATGAAAACTGGGAAGGCAGGGTGGAAAAGGGGAGAGTGCTGATGCATTGTGGGTCAGCCACCACTGTCATGGAACAATTTGTATATGAATTGTTGAATGGGAAACCAGTTTGCTGTGTAAACTTTCATCTAAAACACAAAAAAAAGTTGATAGAAAAATAAAAGATTTCAGCCAAGAAAACGCTTTGGTGTTCAGTTTTACTCTGAAACTATACCGTGCATTGTGGGAAACGAGAGAAAGAATTTCTAAATCAGCACTCATATAATAAACCATTTTCAATGTGCACATGAAATATATTTACTAAATGTATATACAAATAATTGATTTTATCTACAACTCTAAAAGTTTATATACTTGAATTGTCAAAAACAATTTTTAAAAAAGCAAATTTTTGGTCTTTTTGGAAAACTTGCTAATCACTTTCTATTTGAACATACATTCTTTGTAATTACGAAATATTTCTATTTAAAAATGCCCAATGTTAAATATATTTGATTTTTTCTTCTTAGAAATGAAAAGGTTGTGAACTGCTTATACCCAAAACCTAATGCCATCTTCAGACTCATTTGCTTTCCCTGGGCAGGAGGTGGTTCCATGCATTTTGCCCAATGGGGCCAAAAGATTCAAGATTCCGTGGAAGGTATGCTAATTTTCATAATCATCTAAGTAGTTTGTAAAGTCAGATAATATGCACATGTAGAAATTTGAAGTATGATAATAATTTTCACTCCTGGTTGGTAATTTCTGATAATTAGCATTCAAAATTATTCTTTAATGAGGTGATTTTTTTTTTTTTTTTTTTTTTTTTAATTTTGATTTGGGTAAAAATTTACAGAGCAAATTCACTTTCCATACAGCAGTTCACATACACTTTGTCACATGACATTGACCACAATTTACCATAATGCAATAGTTCCCCTCCCACTTCCTCCCATTAGTTACCTCTTCCCTGTGTCCATCCTTCCATGCACTCCTGCCCCCTGAGCTGTCTCTCTGAGCATAAACAGCACTTCTTTCTCCCATGATTATTCTCTCCAAGGAGCGTATTTACCTCAGGTAAATGTTCAACTCATATGCCTGTCTTTTGTTTGGCTGGAAGCCACAGGTGTGGGTTCAATTCCAGACATGAAGAGCAGCTAGGGGCCATAGTCTCAGTGGTTCTGCCAGGCTCTATCAGACCAGCAAACCTGGTCCCCTCCATTTTGTTTTCTGAAATGTTTTTGAGTTTTGTTCCACATTGTTCTCCTCTCTATCCAGGATCTGCTACATAGATCCCCCTCCAAGTGGTTGACAATGGTAGCTGGGCACCATCTAGTTCTTCTGTTCTCATAGTCATATAGGCTGCAGATTGCATGGTGTACCAGTCACTAGGACTAATTGCTTCCATGAATATTTGGTTTTCTTCATTCTTCTTTGCTCTGAATGAGGAGAAACCCATCATTGCATCTAGATGGCTGCTTGTAAGCTTTTAAGATCCCAGTTGATACTTGCCAAAGTAGGAGGTAGAGCAATATTTTGTGTAGTACTTTATGGCAATTGAGCTTGATGTCCCCCTGGGACTATGGTCCCGAGCCCACAGGTTCAACTACTCGGTCTCGCTGGGTAGCTGGCTGTGACCAAGAAGTGACTACAACCTTGTTCCTTGTCAGCTCTACTATACACTGGAAATTCATATCATACAAATACACTTATAGGGCTATTGTCTACCAACCTTATCCATGGTTTTGGGTACACTCCCTGCTTCATAGACAAACCTACTCATTCAGCATGTCCACCCATCTATCCACCCATATACCCATGTTTGCCTTCACTGACAATGCAGTACTCTATGTGCAAAATGGTTCATCTTTGTTGTCTGCACCTCTCATGCACCTCTCTATGTCTTCCTCTTCCTCGATGCCACTATGTTGATTACTCACATTTGGTACATTGTGCCACGTCCGGCAAAACCTCAGAGGTCAGGAAATGAAGTGACATGAAAGGATTAATGATTATCTTTTTTTATTTAAAAGGAAAAGGGGGCCAGGTGGATGCCCTGCATGTTCTGTGAGAGAGATGCCTGATGTCTTTGTTCTACTTTATTTATGTGTTTGTACATGATTACATCATTAGTCTTGGAATCCATACAATCTGCTTATTCTCTACAGAGCTAAAGTTTTACTCCTCTACGTCCTCAAGGACAACAGGTGGTCATTAAAATAATCACAGAAATCTCCTCAGGAATAATGGGTGTAAAATGATAAATGTTTACTAGGACACAGAGACCCAAAGTATGAAACATCCTAATAAGATAAAAACATGGACTACTGGAATAACATCTAAGTTTAATACTTTGATGTTTTGCCAATTAGGTATTTAACAGTGAGAGAGACCTTGCCATCTCTTAAAGCAAACATTCAACCATAAGAGAGGCTTTGCCATCTCTTAACTGTAATTAGAACATGTGCCTTGGCAACTTCTTGGGCCCCTCTCAGGGACCTGTGAACCTTGCCCGGGCCCCTCTCGTGGACCCATAAACCTCACCTGGGAGTGCAGAATAAAAACTCTTTAACCCCACTTTTGTGTGTCTTCTTCTCCTTACTGCGACCCTACATCTGGTGCATTGGCCAGGAAGGGGAAGTGTGGTGCAACTAATCTCTGCTGGAACAGAGTGCTGCACCTCCCCCCTTCTCCCTTTCCTCCTCCTTTTCACGGACCAGGAACCTCCAGCCATCATCATGCAACACCAGTGAGTTTCCCATTTGGCTAATTTCCCAATCCTGGGCACCTAGATCCCAAGTCCTAGTTCTACTTCCAGAGCCTCTGTCCATGTAAGCTCATGTCAGAGTCTCTTCCACTCCAAAGGCTGAGGTACCCTGGGGACGACCTGGGTTCCCTTTATTTCCATGGCATAGCTGTTCCAGACTGAAAACTACAGTGGAGACGTCCACTGTTTTCTTCCAGTCTCCATTTCCAAGATTCTGGCAAAATGACTGGGATGCTGGTCTTTGACAGTTTCTTTCCACCAGGACTTAAGGGATGATGGGTAACCAGACCTCCAAACTAGACCCGAATACTCCCCTGGGGTGTCTCTTACTCAATCTGGGGCTGGCTCAGGACTTACATTCCAAATGCCTTATTTTCTATTGCAATACTGTTTGGCCCCAATAATAGTTCTCGATGGCCTGAGCAAGGAACTTTAGATTTTTAACATCCTCACTGTTCTTCATAATTTCTGTTGCTGCATAGGCAAATGGCCAGAGGTTCCCTACATCCAAACTTTCTTTCACCTGCGCTCCCATCTCTCTCTCTTTCTTTCTCTTTCTCTTCCTTACTTGCAATATCACCCAAATTCTCCTAACTCATGAAACTCCTATTGAAACCCCCTCAAAACCCCTCTAAAGACTCCTCAATCCCTCTCAATTCCCCTAGCCTAAAATCTTTGGGGTTAGAGTCCCCTTTGGCCTCTTCAGGGGTTCGTATCCCCTTTGGCCAGGTTAGGTAGGGTAGAGGGTTCGAGTCCCTCTAGCAGCTCTAGTAGAGAGTTCATATTCAGTTTTGTTGAGGTTGGTGTCTGTGTGTGTGTGACTATTTAGCGTGAATGATATATGTGAAGTTCCAAGACGAAAAGTCGCAGAATTTGAATGGGTCTGAAGTTGCACTCCATGTGAGGTCGGATTGGCATAACAGTGTGGCTTAGCCCTCTGCTCCAGGGTTTATACCAAAGACCCACTGAAACCTTCATAAGAAGGGTGGATGACCAGGCATCAGAGAGGTCCTCGGGACTTGTCTTTTGTTTTGTGTGTACCACTGTCACTATGGGAAGTACCCCCAGTAAATCTACTGTGTTAGAATACATGATCAAAAAATTTTCCAAAGGGATTTAAAGATTATGGTGTTAGCCTCAGTCCATCTAGATTAAGAATCTTTTATGAGACCTATCCACCAGAGCACCCAACTTCCTCTTTTTCTGACCCACCTGAATCTCTTTCATCCCACCTCATAGACCACCCCCGTATTCAGGACAGGCACTTTCATCTCCACCACTTCCCCAGAGTCCTTTTTTACCTTTCCTGGTGAGCAGCCACACCCGTTCTCAA